TTGGACTATTTCAGTGACGTGGAGAGGGGAGATTTGCTGCTTGGGTAACAGCCTATCCTCCATATTATTTTACCCAGTCTTCGTGTTCTGGAGAGGACACTCCAGCTTCGCATACAGCATCAAAACCAGTGGTGGGATTCAGCAGGTTTGCACCAGTTCTACAGAACTGGTAGCTAATGTATTATTGGTTCTGCAGAACCGTTTGTTGGCCTGCTGAATCCCACCACTGATCAAAACCCAGCAAAATCAGGGACCTGGACAGGGGACAGATTGTATTTGTCTTCAGTGTGGAAGGGATTGTCACTCTCAAAGTGGCCTTCTAAGCCACACTAGATGCTGTTCCAAGTCCTCTATTCAGAGCAGGTTACCACAGTCTCTTGAGACTAAAGGATGCCTAATCCAAATGGATATAATGAAATAATAAGGTTCATGTGAAGGATACTGTACATTTGAGAGAAGAGGAGTTACAAGTTCCCTTAGGGGATAGGTCACCTGGCAACACCATGGCCCAGCATGGCCAAGAAGAAGAACCTAGGGTAGGGCTATGTGGCTAAGAGCTGCCTCACTTCTTAATGCTAACTGATACATTCTGTGGACGACATCCACCATGTGTTGAATGGAGAGCTTTAAATCTTTACCCAACAAGCGATCTTTTCCACTGGAATCCACCCTCTGCAGAGAATAAAGAAAAACAATGTCTCAATTGTGGCCAAAGGTGCAGTGGTGTAGTGTGGGTTGCCAGCATTTGGGGCAAGGCAAGTATTGTGTCCCCTAACCCATGGTATGGTAGCTCAGGATTTCATGTTTGTGATAATCACCCAATGTCTTCAGGGAACTCATGTACCCAAGAGGGTCATGTGCAGCTCTGGAGTTTTTGGACAGAGGGGAGAAGGTGGTGAGTGTAGCCCGGACTGGGAGACAGGAGGGTGGCCCTCCTGGCTGAGTGAGAGGAGGAGGTGGGTGTGCTCCCTGGCTCGTGGATGGCCAGCAGAGGCAGAGGGAGGTGAGAAGCATGGTGCCTGGGATCAGCCATGTTGGCAGCAGGGGCTTTCTCCAGGCAGGCACAGGCCCATCCTGCTCCTCCTCCAGGTCCTGACCCAGTAGTGGTGCACAGGAGCACCTGGGAAGGCATCATGCAGAGAGGATCGTGAAGAAGACAGGGAGGGTTGTGTGGTGTGAGCTGACTGGCTAGCCAGCAGATCCCACACACCAGAGATTGTGGGGGGAGTTTGACAAGGTGAGACTTGACTGGCTGGTGTCAGTCTCCATGCAGATCTCTTCTCCCTACGAGGCGCAGCAGCACATTCCCTCGGCAGCTGACTGGTGGGAAAGGGTCTGGACAGCCAGGCCATGCCGCCTCCCCCTCCCCAAACCCTCACAGCTAAGCAGGGAGGAGGGAGGGAGGGCCAGGTCCAGTGGGGACCGTCCATCCATCTCCTCCCACCCCAGGCAGGCAGGGAGGCAGCTGGTGGGAAGGATGAAAGCTGGCCTGCCAGCCAGCCCACCAGGGGTGCCAGAGTACTGGTCAATGGCCTGGAAGGCGTGGGTGGCAGAGGGAGGGCATGCTGTTTTTTATTTATTAGTACTACTTTTTTTTCATTTGAAATTTTGTGCCCAGGCCAACTGCCCCTGTGACACCCCCCCCATGCTATGCCACAGCAAAGGTGATTCCCCCCCCTCTTCTGGCAGGGAATTTAAAATGAGGAGCAACTGGGGATGGCAAGCTAGAAAACATCCCTTGGCCAGACATGATAGTTCCACTGTGGATCACTTTATTTATTAGTACTACTTTTTTTTCATTTGAAATTTTGTGCCCAGGCCAACTGCCCCTGTGACACCCCCCCCATGCTATGCCACAGCAAAGGTGATTCCCCCCCCTCTTCTGGCAGGGAATTTAAAATGAGGAGCAACTGGGGATGGCAAGCTAGAAAACATCCCTTGGCCAGACATGATAGTTCCACTGTGGATCACTCTAACATTCTGCCAACTGCCCCTGTGACACCCCCCCCATGCTATGCCACAGCAAAGGTGATCCCCCCCTCTTCTGGCAGGGAATTTAAAAAGAGGAGCAACTGGAGATGGCAAGCTAGAAAACGTCCCTTGGTCAGACATGATAGTTCCACTGTGGATCACTCTAACATTCTTAAGTGTATGTTTAAAAGGGAAAGGATCTACCCGCTGAATCGTAAATATAATCACTCTTATCATATTATAGCAGACTTCCAAACAGTTGTCCGTGTAGAATGCTAACCATTCATTCCTCTCTTTAGAGCTGTCGTGCTTGTAATCACGGACTGATAACTATTGCATAATCCAAAGGAAACCACTCTAGAGGGCAGGAATCTCTAAAGAGGAAGCTTTTTTCAAACAGTCATGGATGACTTTTTTTAAAAAACAGAAAAATGTATTTTTGGCAACAGGATGTTTCATTCTTTCTAATGATACTAAGAAAAGGCAGAATTAGATAGCATGGCAGAAAATCATTACATCATCAGAAAATGACGCAGATATGCTGTTGCAGAAAGCTCAGGAAAACATCAACACAGAAAATTCACAAACCTAGTGAACTCTGAACATGGTTACTCATATTAACATATATTGTGAGGGAATTCCCTCCATTATTTCTGGCATTTATAGGAAAAAGGTTTGCCTCCGTGAACCCATTCAACCCCACAAGACCTGAATCATGTGCATTTTGTTACTGGGGCCAACATGCATTCAATTTTGCAAACTGCTAGGCATATCAGACTCTTGCTGGTTCAGACCAATAGTCAGTCTTGTCTACCATCCTGTTTCCTATGATGACTATCAAGATGTGTTAGGCCTAGCAGTGTGGCCAGAGTAGGAGAGATATGATGGTGTTTTCTCACCCCATTAAGAAGTCTGGCCACCACATTCTGTGCCATTTGAAGCTTCCGCATCAGTTTCAAAGGTAGCCCCATGTAGAGCGCATTACGATGGTCTAATCTCGAGATTACAAGCACATGCACTAAAGTGGTGAGTGCCCCAGCATCAAGATAAGAATGCAGCTGGGCAATCCGCCAAAGGTGGAAGCAGGCAGAGCAGACCACTGATGCCACCTGGGTTTCCATGGTGAGCGCTGGGTCCAGATGGATCCCCAAGCTGCAAACCTCACTCTTCGTGGTGAGAGCCACCCCCCCCAAAAAAATGAGAGGGAGTTTCCCAAACTGCTGATGGTGGGGGCAACCACCCTCAGTATCTCTGTCTTTTTTTGAAATTTATTAATTTCCATAAGAGTGATGCAACATTCTCATGCAGCATCCACCGTTGATTTAACATGCATGCATAGATGTCTCAGTGTTTTAGATATCTGGTTGTGGAGCCAGAATTTGGGAGTTCGATTCTCTGCTATGCTTCCTTGATAGGGGCCAGACTTAGTGATCCCTAAGGTCCCTTACAGCTCTAATATGATGATGTGATGATGATTATATCTATGGCAAAGGTAGGGAACATGTGGGCCTCCAAAAGTTGTTGTATGGCAAGACCACCCTCACTTTTGGTCATAGTGTTCCTTATGAAACAGACAAAAATACTAAATTTCTGTTTAGCTCTACATAGATTATATTAACATACTTTCTCCATGGGACAGGAGTGAGGGGAAAATTTACTCCATTTCCCCTCTGTTGGCCTAATCCTCACATCCTTTCCACCAGCCACTCCCTCCCCCAGAAATGCCCCTCCTGGACATGTGGCTGCATCATCTAACAGAGAAGGCTAGCTACAGGGCTACAGGGCCTGAAGTAAAGAACAGGTTCCTGATCTCTGTCTAGGTTACATACTAGCTTCTCACCCAAAGGAAATTATGTCCTCGTGATGGCTTCTCCATGTGCTCCTACAATGTAGATAAGGTATACATTGTATATCATGACTAATCACATAGTTCCTCTAGTGAAAACAGATATAAAATACATTGTATATCATGACTAATTACTGTACATAGTTCCTCTAGTGAAAACAGATATAAATGATCTGGAAAGATATACAGTAAATGCTTTGGTTTAGTGTCCCAAGTTGGAAAAAAGCTGAAGGGTACATCTTTACTGCATTTGGCTGGATACAGTAGCATAGAGATGTCCTAGAAGATGATGAGGTATGATAAATGTCCCTTCTTTCTTTTTATTTCATTTTCTTTCCTATCCTATGAAAAGCAAAGCAGAAAAGCCCTGCCTGTCCTGCCCAAACGGTTTTTTTCCCACAATGAAGTGTCTGCTCTGATGAGACCTTTGGGAAATATGTCTATTGTGGTTAAATGTGATGCCATGTGGCTGACACAGCTGCACTCCCTGAAGGAACACCAGAACCAAACACTTGCCATCTATGCTGCTTCTAAACCCCGTTATTCAATTATTCTGCATGACCAACAGCCAAAGCACAGGCCAAAGTCAATATTACTTCAGCATCTCTGAAGCAACATATATTCAGTGTGTAGGAAGTTAGCTGGCAGCCCTTCATGGTTGTGGTATGTGGCCAAAATTCTTTTATATGAGCTTGAATACTACAATTGTAAGGAACCAAACTTTGAATCATTGTAAGGAATCAAACACTGAATTGATTGAACCTTGCATTTTCAAGCACTAGCTTCAAGCTGATAGCTAGTCCCCCACTATAATACTGTGGTGCCTCACTAGATGATGATAATCCGTTCCACTGAAATAGCTGTTTAGCGAAATCATTGTCTAGCGAAAAGCATTTCCCCATTGGAATGCATTGAAACCTGTTTAATGCGTTCCAATGGGGAAGAATCATCGCTGTCTAGTGAAGATTGGCCATAGGAAAGCCACTTTGCGAACCACCAATCAGCTGTTTAAATCACTGTCTTGCGAAGCTTAGGTCCTGAAAACACCTGTTTAGCGAGCGCGGAGGGAGCTGTCAAAATCGTCGTCTAGCAAAAATCGGTTTGCGAAGCAGGGACCAAACATTGTCCAGTGAAATTCCCCCATAGGAATCACTGTTTTGTGAATCGCTATAGCGATCACAAAGAGCCAATGTCTAGTGAAAAAACTGTCATGCAGGGTAACTGTCTAGTGAGGCATCACTGTAAAACCAATGGGATTTCCATAAACATTGAGTTTTCATTTTGCACCTGGTTCAGCGAGTCCGCTCCACTAGCCATTTCCAAAGTAGAATCCATGACACAGGCCATACACATTCTCAGTTATTGCAGTATGTATTCCAACAAATAAATACTGACTTAATTCAGTTTACATTCCTCATGTAAAACCCCAAAAGTCTGCTTTGATATTTCAGTTAACTTCTCAAACTGTCTTGAGGCAAAGTCTCCTGTAGCCATTTCTTGAGCAAAATTCTCCGGCGCATTGAAGAGAATCGTAGCTATACAGTGTTTCCTTTTCTTGTCAGACTTAATGAAAAAGTTTGTGTTCGCTTACTAGCAATCTGCAGTTAAAGTCCAGGGGTAGATTAACCTGTTGTATCAAATGAAGAAAACACCACATCAGATAAATGCGAGTCCTTAAGCTCAACACCGTGCAAGCAGAAGCCTTCATTCTCCCCTTTTGCACATGGAGAGGAAGGGGGAGGAAGTACATGGGACTGAGTCTTCCTACAATTCCTTCCTGTTTTACATAAACAGGGCTTTATGGGCTTTGGGCCTTTATGGGGTGGGGGTGGCAGAATGTTTCAATTTAAATTGCAAGAGTTTTATCCCAGATTATTTGTCAGTTTGCAGATTGTGCACATTATTTAGACTCAAATGAGAAGAACACACACATTGCCGTCTGGATATAGCCCTGGATTCAGCTCTGAACTCAGATGCTCAGGTTTTGACAGTGCTTTTACATTTGTACGTATGCCTATGGTGCCTGTTTGTAGAAATATTGAATCTGACCACAGATGGGGATAGTTAATTTCCTCAAGACTACAACTTTCAAGAAACCTCTACCTGCTTGATTCAGGGACTTACATTCCCAAAATACACCTTTTTCCATCTCTGAGCCTGACAGTGGTGTTCTGCATTTTGTTTGGACTATGTTAACTAATGTTTGGAAACAGCAGTGTGAATCCTGTTGGCCCAGCTAAGCCTGTGGAAGGATAACAGCAACCTCGTTAGCAAGGGGCTTGATAATTAAAGACTTCCCCTTTCTCTCCCATGGCTTTTCTGACTTGGGAATGATCCCCTTCACTGATGGAAGCCATGTAGCCCCAGGAGAGGAGGAGGAGGAGGAAGTCTTTCATTCCATCATATCACCACCACCAGATTATATTACTGGCAGGAGGATATTCATTTTCATTCAGAATTCAAAATGTTGGTTATACAAACTACAGAGTCCTACAAATTGCCAACTGCTGATCTAACAAGATAATGCGGCTTTAAAATCCAGGGTTCTTAGAGGAATTTTGTAGCTTGAGAAACATTACCATTTATAATAATGGAAAGCAAAATTAGCAAACTGCATATATGGAGGCAGCCCCCCCCCCGTATCTTCCCTAGAATTTGGAAACCATTATTTCTGATCTACCTCCCCTCCATCTTAATAGGCCATAATTATAGATGGGCATGAACCGCCAGTTTCATGCCATTTGGTCCTTCAGACAAACAGGTATTTGGTGCTTCTTGGCCCCGCTTCCTCTAGGTGCTGCCACTGAGTGGATGCCTGCCAGAGAAGGAGGAACTGTGAAACGCAGAACACCTTTTCATCCAAAGGATGAATTGGCATGAAACACCAAATCAGCAGTTCGTGCCCATCTCTGGTCATAATCTCAGTAACCGAACATATTAACCTGAATTATTGTTTGCATTATAATATTTATAACTTTGTTGACCTTTTAATGCCAGGCAAAACTCTTTTCAATATTCCCAGCTGCTTTAAACTTGAGACAAAAATTGTTACTGCCAATTATGTTTTACCTATGTGTTCCTCTAGGCTTAGCTATTTTAAGATCTTTGTAGTAAGAGATATCAGATATTTTAATCACCTTTTGTAAATGTTTCCCTTCTGTTTTTAACCTTAATATTTTAAATATTAAAGATCCTTGACTATAGGGCAACTGATAAGCTGAATGAATGAGTAAATGCATATGTGATTCTTTGTCTGCCATTACCGCCCTTTGAGTCACAATCATGAGATCAGGTCATTCTTTCAAAAGCCAAAATGGAGTAGACAAACTGGGGCCTTTATACCTTCCTCTACCGTTCTTGTTCTATTCTTCCTCTGTTCCGGCTTTTTAGCTTTTTCCATGACAGAGAAAAGAATAGTTCAGGGAAAACGGCAAAGGACAATTGAGGTGAAGAGGTGAATGGGCAGAAAGGGAGTGGAAGAGGTTGTCTCATCTCCACTTTTAGTGTGCCAAGACCAATCCTTCCCTCTCCAGTACTTGGCAGAAGTCAATTTTTGAAGATTGATTGATTGATTGATTGATTGATTGATTGATTTATTTATTTATTTATTTATTTATTTATTTGCCACTCCCCACCCCCACCCCATAGGAGACGCAAGGTGGTTTACAACAACTAAAACTATCAAATAATCGGCAACTTTAAAAACATTATATAAACGTCATATTAAAAGCAATTAGACATAGATCAAGATTAAAACCAAGATTAAAAACAATGTAAAAGAATTTTAAAAATCTGTAAATTAATAAACGACACATTCCTGAAACACTTCTTGCTTAAAAGCCTGCCTGAACGGGGAAAATCTTGGCCAAAATGGAAGGGGCCAAGCTGGATTCTCAGGCCAGCACATTCCAAATTCTGGGAGCAACCAGAGAGACACGTCGTATTAGAGTGTCTAAAGGAGAGCTGTAGTCACTACAAGGACTGCCTAGTTTGTGGTCCTATAGGATGTTCTAGAACTGTGGTCCTCCTCATTTTCCTCCTCCTTCTTCCAAAGAGAAATCTGTTTCCTAGCCACTTTATTCCTGGAACTAAAAGGAAAATATGCAGTCATTATCTAATCCAGTTGATAATTAAAGGGCAAAACAGACCATATGCACAACTACATTTAATGCATGTTTCTTTTTGGCAGCCAAAGGGGGGAGGGCAGAAAGAAAATAGCCCGTGATTAGAAATGAAAGCATGTGAATGTTGGAGAGATGCGACTAAAGCAGACTTCTGTGTTTGCAAAATCTAACTCCAGAGGATTCCTGTTGGTCTGCTTTGGAGGCGAATCACAAAACAAAGAAAGCTGAGTTGCAAATTGCATGATGTGAGCAAAGTTCCTGCTCTGCGTTCAGGCCCATTTACAAAGGTTAAGGAAAGACTTTGCCAATGACAGAGCATCCATAACATCTGTTTCAATCCAGAGATGATGGTACAAACCAGGGTGCACAGAAGGAGGAGTAGATGTAGGTTGCAAGATTCTTAAAATTATTAATCTATGTACTTTCTATAACAGATCATCCCAAAGCGATGTGTGTATCAATAGCGAAAGTGTATATATGCTACATTCTAAGTGAAGATCCTCTCCCTTGAACCTGCTGTTCAAGGTGACTGGCAACTTTGGCAAGGTAGTTTTTGTTGCGGCAAGGCCCAACGAGAAGAAATAACCTTTATTCATTTCCCTTGAAGCCACTGTTCAACTTTGGCAGGGTAGTTTTTGTTGCAGCAAAGCCCAACGAGAAGAAATAACCTTTATTCATATGTATTTACCTTCAGATACCCAATTTGCAAGCTATTTGGGACTTTAAAAGGTTAACACTCAAACTTTAACTGCTTGGTAATGCAAACGAGAATCCATTTAATATGAAACTAACACTCTGAGTTAGTAATTGGCCTTCTGTATGGAGGGAAAAACCCAGCCTCCCATTTATTTAGATCTCATTTTATTCTTGCAGTATAAAATAATAAATAATTCAATTCCAGCTTATGATGACCTTTTTCTGACTTTTCCAGGCAGAGAACAATAATAATTGTGTGCCATATGACCTTTTTCAGAATTTTCTAGGCAGAGAACAATAATAATTGTGTGCCATCAAGTTGATTCAGATTTATGGTGACCCTTTCCAGGGTTTTCTAGGCAGAGAATACACAGAAGTGGTTTTCCGTTCCCTTCTTCTGGGGCTGTCCTGGGACTGTGCAGCTTGCCCAAGGCCACACAGGCTGGCTCCACTCACAGGAGGCACAATGAGGAATTGAACTCCCAACCGATACCTAAACTGCAGAGCTATCAAGTTTACACTTACATTCCACTTGAGAGATTATGGTATGCAACAATAAAATTTATGAAAGATTGGGGTCATATTGATTATTTATTCTGTTAAAACAGCAAGTAGAAGTCTTTTTTAAATGCTTGAAAACAGAGTTTCATTTTTTGCACTGTACTGCTAAAGTCATCAGGGGCAGCCACCCCAACAAGTTACAAAGCCAAGCAATCTTAATGGGTAGGTGATTAAGAATAATCTTAGAGAAACAGATCAAAACAAAGCTAAGCCCAGGATACTTCCTAAGAAAAGCAAACAACATTCTGCAATGCAATGAAAACAAGAAAAACTGTAAAATGTTTAGAATTTGTTGATAGCCATGGGAAAAAATGTCATCCCATGGTCTTTCTGGATTTTGTAAGACAAAATAGATCCTGAAAGCCTGAAGCCTTTCTATCCCCAACCAAAGAAGATCATAAAATCCAGTCATGGATCTCTTCTGCCATGCTTTGTTTAGGAACAGAATAATCCATGAGGATATATTTAGCTGGTTTCTGAACATGTTGTCTACTGTACACATTTACAATGTTTGCTCTCCTGCCACACCTACACCCACCCCCTTTCTATTTACCAAATTGAGCTTTAAAACATTGATATAGTCTTTGGGGGGGGGATAGATATGTGAACGGGGCTGCCCATCCACAGACTGAATAGGCTGGGGCTATATTTTTAACTTTAAAAGGAATGCAGAAGGGACACTTCCTGGCCCCATGGGATGCTTGCTTTCTCCCGTGGTCATGGGCTCCATGTCTCTCTCCACCCCTCCTGAATGCCAAAGTCAGACAAGCTAAAAAGAGAGAATCTGGGGTGATGGATAGTAGGGAAATGGAAGGAGTGAGAATTCACAATTCCTGACTCAGGCATCCCTTCTGATATTAAAATTAGATCCCACCCACACTTTGTATACAAATGGAACAGACCCATAATTAAACTAAATGCAGCTTGCCTCTCAGGTTTAGCTTGATCCTCACTGGAAACCAAAAGGACAATTAGTGAGCATGATTGCCAAGACTCTTATGCAAGAAGATGTGGGCTGAGTTGCAAAGAAGCCAAACTCAGAAGTAATTTGGTATTTTCTCATATTACTCAGCATGTCATGTTGGCTGTGAAGCCTCTTCTTTGCTTTTATGTTTCAATTTTCCTTCCTCTTTTAATAGAAACAATAAACTCTGAAGCCAATCACAAATAATACTTTTTAAAAACGCATCTTTCACAGCACCATCAGAGTGGCATTCTGCCTTCAAGAACAATAATTCAAGATCTA